GAAGGGAGAGGGAGAAAAAATTAAAACTCAAAAGCTTGTAGAAGTAATTGTTGATAATATATTTTTTAAAAATTACTTTATATTCCTATCATTGATAGTTCAAAGCTGGGTGCACTAGTCTTGGAAGAGCAAGAGGAGTAGTTTTCATAGAAAAACATGGAGCTCCTCAAGGAAAGCAGACCTGGATATGAGGTCAAACTGCAAGGCTTTGGTCAATCACGGGTCAGCATAAGGGCCTTGGGGATTTGTGAAGATGGGGATGGGATCCAGAAGGGAAGTGGCAGAGGGACACACATGGGGAGAGGACACCCAAGGAGAAGTTAGATGGTAACACAAAAGGAAGTAGCAGGGGGGTCACAGGAAGAATGATGTAAGAGGACAGAGTAGGGCCCCACACAGACTCGTGATTCAGACCTAGGAGAATGAGCTCAGAAGAAGCTGAAGGCAGGACAGCCTGGAGGGCCATAGGACCCAATTCGAGGGTCAGTGAGGCACTACCAAGGGGAAGGGGGAGCTTCTCCCTGACCCCTGGCTGATATTTAGCAACCTTCCTGCTTCATGCTAACCACATTGAAAAAACATTCCAGGGGAATTTAAAGCCAAACCTCAAGGCTCAGAGTCAGTGTGGCCTTGGCAGACTGAGAAGGAAGCCAGGCTCTAGTGCCCTTTTACTACAGCTCAGCACAGCAGATAAAGAATTAGCAGATTTGGAACTATTCCCAAAGGGCTATAAAGCTGTGCATACCTTTTGACCCAGAAATGCCACTACGAGGTCTGTATCCCAAAGAGATCAAAGGAAAAGGAAAAGGACCTATATGGACAAAAATAAATACAGTAGCTCTTTTAGTAGTAGCAAAGAATTGGAAATTGAAGGGATGTCCATCAATTGAGGAATGGCTGAACAAGTTGTGTTATATGATTGTGATGGAATACTATTGTGCTATAAGAAATGATTAGCAGGATGCTTTCAGAAAAACCTGGAAACACTTACATGAACTGATACAAAGTGAAGTGAGCAGAACCAAGAGAACATTGTACACAGTAACAGCAACATTGTACAATGACCAACTGTGAACGAGTTAGCTATTCTCAGCAATACGAGATCCAAGACAACTCCAAAGGAATTATGATGAAAATTGCCATCTGCCTCCAGAGAAAGAACTGATGGAGTCTGAATGCAGATCAAAATATACTTTTTTTAAAACTTTCTTTATTTTTCTTGTTGCTCTGGTTTTTTAGTCTGTGTTTTCTTCCACAGCATGACTAATATGGAAATGTGTTTTGTGTGACTGATATAAAATCTATATCAAATTTATTGCCTTCTCAAGGTGGGGAGGGGAAGAAGGAAGGGCTAGAATTTGGAATTCAAATTTTTAAAAAAATGTTTTTAAAAAGTGTTCTTACACATAATTGGGGAGAAATTAAAAATTAAAAAACAAAACAATAACAAAAAAAGAATCTGCAGGCTGGGGCAGGGGAAGGATTCCCTGAGGCCTTAAAACCTGAGTAAAGCTTTCTCATCTCTGAGTATCACATTCACAGTGGAGTCCAGCCCTACTTTATCACTAACTGGCCGTTTGGCCTGGGTCAAGTCATTGCACAGGGCTAGAGAATTGGACCTGGAGTCAAGACCTGTGTTCCAATCTTCTTACACCTTATTCCCTGCCATGTACTCTTTAATCCAGTGACACCAGCTTCTTGGCTATTCCTTGAACAAGACACTTGGCTCCAGGCATTTTTTCTGCTGGTCTCCATGCCTAGAACACTCTCCTTCCTCAACCCCACCTGCTGATCTCCCCGGCTTCCTTGAAGCCTCAGTTAAAATCCCATCTTTTACTGGAAGCCTTCTCCAACCCCTCTTAATTCAAATGTCTTCCCTCTGTCAATTATTTCCTATTTACTTTGTACGTAGTTTGCTTTGTATATATTTGTTTGCATGTTGTTTCCCCATTCGATTTTAAGCTCCCTGAGGGACTGTCTTTTGTCTTTTTTAGTGTCCCCAACACTTATCACAGTGCCTGGCACATAGTAGACACCTAATGTTTATTGACTGAATGATTGATTGGTTCAAATTCTCCCTGTGTCACTTAGCTGTCCTCTTGAAACCTCAATTTCCTCATCTATAAAATGGAGATAATGCCAGCTTTGTGGAGTTGTTAATACTGACATCCCTCTTAATTTCCTCATCTATAAAATGGAGATAATACCAACTTGTGGGGGTGTTGATATTGACATTCCTGTTGTAGATTTCGAGCTGAAAGGGACCTTAGAGGTCATCTAGTCTAATCCACTCATTTTATAGATGGGGAAACTGAGGCCCAGAGAGGTTATATTACTTATCCAAGGTCCCTCAGGTGGCTGCACTGATCTCACCATCCTCCCAAGTATGGAGAATCCCAAACCCTCAGGCTGTGGAGGTGGGAGGGGACCACAGTGCCAGATGGAAGGAAAAAGGACCCAGGAGCTGAAGGACCCAGGTGGCTGGTCAGGAAGAGTCAAGGGATTAAGCTACTCTGGCTGGAGACATACATGCAGAGAGCTCAGGCACCTAGTGAGCTAGTGTGTGGCTGGGGCAGGGTCACTGGTGACCCTGGAGAAGCTAGCTTCCATCCCAAGGGCCTGTGAAAGAGCCCAGGACTGTGGCCCGCTGCCTCCAGGTGCACCACTCACAGGAGCCACTGCAGGCTTCACTCCTGGCAGGGGGGGTGAGGGGTCACAGTAGGGGTGGGGTTCCCCTCTAAAATGTGCCCTCAGGCTTAGAATAGAATTTGAGTTCAAGCCAGCCTGTCCAAGAGTAGTAAGAGAACAGTGGGTCTTTCTGCTTTCAATGCTTTTGAATGATGTCACGGATGGATAACTAGATTTCAAGTCAGAAAAAACTTGGATTCAAATCCCAAGGATAATTTCGTGAACCTTAATCTCAGGCTTTATCTAATAGAGATTCACAGTTTCATGTATTATACATGAAATACAATACAGACTCAAGTTACAGTGTGTGCGACTGCGGTTGATCAGACCAGTATAAGCTCAGAATGCTTTACCACCAGTCAGGCACAAATAGTCCATGGGAACATTTGGGGTGGATTCTCTAAATTTGCGCATCTTGAGTTTTATTTGAGCTACTTCAATTCTGCTTTGCTCATAAAGCACAGCACCCTCTCAGATGAGGGCATGCCATGCTTGGTGGTCCTGTGCCAGTGACATGCAATCCCAAAGTTCTTAAGAGAGACCTTGAAGGTTTCCTTGTATCTCTTTTTCTGACCACCATGTGAACGTTTGTGTGAGTTCTCCATAAAATAGTCTTTTTGGCAAGCATGAGTTTTGCATTCAAGCAATGTAGCCAGCCCATCGGGGTTGTGGTCTCTACAGCAGAGTTTGAATGCTTGGCAGTTTACCTCAAGAAAGGACCTCAGTGTATGGTATCTTATCTTGCCTACATTGCATATGGAAATGCTCATTTTATTTGAGTTTTGTTAAGTTCAGAATAAAATAAAATAAAGCCACTTATCCTAAGTCTCAATTTCCTCATTTGTAAAATGGGAATAATACTATTTAATGCATCTCAGGGTTGTTGTGGACAGCCTCATGGAAATGATAGCTATCCTGGGATCATAGGTTTCTATCTGGAAGGAATCTCAGAAACCTTTCAGTCCAACCCCATTTTACAGATGAGGAAACTGAGGCCCACAGAGGAAAAAAGTGATTTCTCAAAATTATATAGGTGGAACTGGGATTTGAACCCAGGTCCTCCAGCTCCAAATGGAGAAGTCCATACCACAAAGTCCTGTCTCCCAGTAGCACCCGAGAAGAAGTTGGGTGTCTAATTCTATTAATTTTACCAAAGTTGTATGGGCCCTCACTTCTCTACACTCTGACCTATGCCAGCAGTTGGATTCCCTAGGCTACCAGGGAACTTAGAAAATTGTGTGATTCTAGAGCAATCTGCCTGAGAAATGCCAGGCACCCCCTACCATAGAGAGAGGCTCCACCAGGATCACTGCAAAAGCCCCTTAATCTCCTGCCTCCAGCTTCTCCCCTCTCCAAACCATTCTACACAGAGCTGCCAAAGTGAGAGTCTGAAAGTCCAGGAGTGTGTAACCTGTGGCTCACCTCTGTCCCCTCCTCCTTACCTCACATCATTTGGACACCTTTCCCAACTATCTCTGCTTTTACTCCATTGAAGAGATAGCCTCTCCTCCAAACATTCATCCTTGAACCATACCCTCCCAGTTTCTCCAGTACCATGCCCCCTTTATCATCCCAATTCTCTCTTATCTTTGATCTCTCTCCCCTCTTCCCTGCTGTGGAAAACATCCCCATATCTCTCTCATCCTTAAAAAACCTTCTCTATTGATTCAATCAGCCATGATAGCCATTGTCTCATATCTCCTTGAGGAGAGATGTTATATTATATGATATATAATCATATATTGTATATAGTTATATCTTCTTATATATGTACCTAATTAGCACCTTGAAAGCAGGGACTACTTCTTTCTTTCTTTCCTTTTCTTTCTTGTCTCGGTATTGCCAGCACTAAACACAGTACCTGGTGCACAGTACCTGGTGCACAGGAGGTGCTTAACAAATGTTTGCTGAATTCTATGTCACGGAGGGGCTGCTGGCAGATCTATGGGGAGGGGCGTCCTTCTTCCCGCTGGCCCTGGATTCCCAACTTGGCCTGCACGCCCCCCCCCCACCCCGGAACGTAGGGGATGGTAATGGGGCACAAAGCCCTCCCAGTTGCTGCTGGCGAGGAAGCCCCAGCACTTCATACCTTCACCCTGCCCCCACAGCAGCCCGCGAAGTCCGGTTCGCAGGTCACAGTTACGCCCGGCTCTCTTTCCCTTTTTGGAGCCCAAGCTCAGCAAAGAGGGAGGGGTGGCTTCCGGTTTGGTCAGCTCTCCTCTGCGGTAGAAAGGAGACCAGAGCGGCTTTGGTGATCAAAATTGAACCCTGGAGAAAGAAGGAAGGGAGGTGGGGCGGGGGAGGGGAGGAGATATTTCCGCCTATACCGAATTTCTATTACATTTTCGGGGCTGCCCAAACTCTCTTCAGTTCCCGGCTGGCTGGCTGATTCGCATAAAATCCGGCCGAGTCTAGGTGCTGGCCTTGGGTCCCTGGAGCTGGGATTCCCGGTCTGGCGAGTTCAGCACCCTGGTACCACGTATTCATCCTCATCCTCAGCCTCGGGATGATGGGACGCTTGGGGATCTGGGATGCAGGTCAGATTATTCACGTTGCCATAGATAGGATGCTCAGCCCTGGAGCTGTCCTCATAGTTCATGTAGAGGGCCTCGGGATCTGGCGAAGCCCCTCTGCTTGGAAAAGGAAAGACAAGCCAGATGTTAGGAAAGTGTTGGGCTGGGCTGGGCTGGGCTGGGGGGAAGCCAGAGAGGAAATGAAACTTATTCTGGCCTTCTTGTGGACTGAGTGACTGCAGATTTAGAGCTGGAAGAAGGGACCTTGTGATGTTCAATGGTTTTCTGTCGCATCCAACTCTTTATGACCCCATTTGTGACCCTCTTGGTGACCACATTTGAGGTTTTTTTGGCAAAGATACTGTAGTGGTTTGCCATTTCCTTCTCAATCTCTTTTTACAGATGAGGAAACTGAGGCAAACAGGGTTAAATGACTTGCCCAGGGTCACAAAAGCTAGTAAGCGTCTGAGGCTAGATTTTAACTCAGGCCCTCAGAGGTCATTTAATCTAACCCCTTCCTTTTTACAAATGAGGAAACTAAAGTTCAGAGAAATTAAGTGACATACACAAGGTCACACAGTTAGTACAGAAGCAGGATTCAAACTTCTGGGCCTCAAATCAAGCATTCATTTTGTCTATTATACCACCCTGCCTGGCCAAGGTTTGAGAGAGCGAAACAAGGCTAGGTCTGGGCTGACTCCTTCCCTCTTCCAAAGAGTCACTGTACTGGGACCCTCCCAGGACCCCTCTGCAACTTGTGCTATGGCCCTGGAAGAGTTGGGGGTGGGGATTGCCTGAATAAAACCCCAGAAACCTGGGGCAAGTCACCTATGCTCTCCATCCCTGTTTCCTCAACTGAAAAATGAAAGGGTTGGAGAATAATCGCTGAAGTACCTTCCAGCATGATATCTATTATCATCAGGAAGGAGCCTTCCAGCAGCAGTTCAGAGCCAGAAGTGACCTCAGGTCCTAGCTAACTGCAACTTCAGGTTTCTTTAAGAGGCATAATGTGGGAGACGGATGTGCTAGCCTGGCTCTTCTCTGTCCTCTGCTCACACCACATGAGAAATATGGAATTCAGCTGCATTTTAGCAAGGATATCAAAAACTGGAGGTGTCCAGAGAAGGGCAACCAGAATGGGGAGGGAACCAGAAACAAAGGTTCAGGTGCATGACCTGGGGTTAGCCTGGAGAAGAGATGCTATCATGGAGGAGGGGGCCCATGATAACTGTTTTCAAGTGTGTAAAGGGCTGTCATTTGGAAGGGACTCAACTTACTCTGCTTGGTCCCAGAACCAGGGGGGCTAGCTATGGAGGCAGATCTAAGTAGTTCCCATTCCCACATAAACTGAACAATAATGAAATGGATTTCCTCCAGAGCTCGTGGAGATGAGCCTGAGATGGCCACATGTCAAGCAATACCACAGAGTGAGATCGAGCTCAGGAAGAGGCTGGACTAGGGGTCTTCCAAGGTCCCTGCCAGCTTTGAGACTCTGATTTAGTCTGACAGCCTAACCATTTTACAGATGAAAAAACTGAGGTCCAGGAAGGGTAAATGAGAGCAGAAAAGCAAGGACTCGAACCCAGATCTTCTGACTCTTATTCCAGAACTCTCTGTCACACCATGTTTCAGCCGTGCCTAACCCCATTGGGTACTAGGGGATATGGATAAGGGTTGATGGGTCCATCCCTTCTGATTCACCCTGAAAAAGATTCCTCGAAAATTATATCACCAGTTAGAGATTCATTTAAGGTAATTATTCTCTTAACAAGTAAAACAAGAGCAGAACATTGTGCAAATCTTGGAGATGAGTGCTGAAACTGCTGCTGTGTGACCTTCGATCTCTCTCTGGGACTCAGTCTCCTTACCTATAAAATGGGTTGGCCTCTAGCATTAAAAAACTCCTCTGGTTGGCATTTAAAGCTCTTAGAGGGCACAGAGTAATTGTGAGGGTCATAGGAAAAAGGTTACATGCATGTCGGTTCATCTACTTGAAGCCTGAAGGAGAAGTGGGAGGGAGGATGAGAAGCGGATCTCTGGGAGAAACAGAGTGAAGGCTGGTCACTCACCGGCTCGGACTGGGATTCGGGCTCTGACTGCTGGGCTGGGAGCCCAGAAACAAGTTCTCATAGAGCAGAGCCCCAGGGTTGCTTGGGCCTGGGGCAGCCGAGGGGCTGGGGGTAGTGGCCGCAGTGAACTGCCCGACACTCCGGCTGCTATAATGGGGTTGCCAGCCCGGGGCAGAGCCGCTTTCCGAAGGCTTCCAAGAAGAGGTCTCAGGGCCAACCCAGCGCCGTTTCCTGCGGATCCCCAGGACGGTCCCCACAACGACCCCGGCTAGCAGCAGCACCAAGCCCATGGTGATGCCCACAATGGGCCCGGCGGAGAGTTTGTGGTCAGAGCAGTTTTGCCAACCGCAAGTCTTGTTGCATAAGTCCTGGCTGCAGTTCTGAGTCAGGTTCTGGCCCTTGGAGGCATGCAGCAGCAGGAGCAGACACAGCAGCAGAAGGGGGAGCCAGGCCCCAGCAGCCTGCATCCCGGCAGCCTAAGGAGACACAGAAAGCCAGGCCTTAGAATTCTCTTGAGCCTGGGATGAGCCTCAGGCTCCCAACTGTGGGCTAAAAGCAGGTCCCGTCTGCCCCTCATTACCACCTCCACACACCCATCCCAGCCCAAAAGCGACTGAAGCAGTTGCTCCAAAAACGGGGACACTCCTTCCCTAGCCCTACCCTTTAGCCCACAGCCCACACAACAACCCTAAAATGCTCATGCAACCTGCCTGACCACCTGTGCCCCGGGAAGCCAGGCAGCAGCGGGGTGTGCTGCTCCCCTACACGCAGAGCCTTGGCTTTCCTGCCCAGGCTGGGGAGAGGGAAGGAAGGGAAACTCACTGGCGGAATGGGGAGAGAATTGAGCATCCCATTGCTGTTCAGGCTCAGATGCCCAACCCTCGAGATCCTTGAAGATCCCCTCCTCACACCCTCTTCCCTGCCTCCTTAGGCTGGAAGGGCTAGATGACCCCTTCCAAAGATGTGGACACCGCTGAAGGGAGGGAGCAGCTCACCTGGCTAGAGTCCAGAGTCAAAGGTGGCTTCCTGAGGGCCAGCTCCTTCTTGGCCTCTTTCAGCAACCCAGGGAGGTTCCCTGCTGGGAGAGAAGAGGAACAGGCAGAGCCGCTGTTATTGGTAAGACTGGAGGGATGAAGAGGACAAGTCCCCTGGGTCCCTCCCCCTTCATCCTCTGTCCCTTCCCCCTTTCTGTCCCCAGCCCTCAGAGAAGCCACAGTTCTCACAGTCTGAAGGGGAAGGGAAAGGGCAGTTCAGCCAATCTGGGGTCTAGGCTCAGGCTTCACTGGGCTCAGGGATAGGGAAGACCCTGTTTCTTCACCTCTGAGGTTGATCTTCCTGCCCCAAATGGACTTTTGCTGAAAGCTGGGCCACCTGAGGCATAGGCTGTAGGTAGGGATGGGAGAACAAGCTAACTTTCCTCATCTGAAAAGTGAGAGGATTGGACTGGAGTAATAACTCATTCTCAAGGGCCCCCAGGACTACCTGTTCCCAGTATGGCCACAGCAAACTGCGGGAAGTTTGAGGGGACGCTCTATTCTGGGTAACTTTTGTCTTTTTCTTCAGACAAGGAATTCTCTGAAGAGCTAGTGTCCTCAGAGCAGGTGACCCACCCCCTTCTCTCCACTCCTACAGGCATCACTTCTGTTCAAGCCCTCATCAACCTTTTCCTGGACTCTCCAAATAGCTTCTTGACCAGTCTCCCCCAATACAGCTTCTTCTTGTCCAATTCACTCTTCCTCCAGCTGCCAGATAGATTTTCATAAAGCACAGATCTGACTATACTCTGCTGCTCAGGAAGGTTCCATGACTCCCTTTTCTTCATTCTTGTCTCTTGAATGAAATACCAAGTGGCCTGTCATTTAAAGTCCTTCACCATTTTGTTCTGACCTGTTTTCCTAGACTTATTTCCTATTACCTTCCTTCACAGATACTCAAGCCAAACTGTGACCCTTATTCAACATTCTTTCACCCACCTCTGCTCCTTTGAACGGACAGTCCCATGCCTGAAATGGTCTCCCTCCTCATTCCCTGTCTTCCTTCAAGGCTCAGCTGAAGGAACACTTCTTAATCAAGGCCTTCCATAATCTCCTCTCCCTCCCTTCCCCCGGATTCTTTGCTGGAACCAGCCGGATGACAAAGTAGGTAGAGTGCTAGGCCTGGAGTCAGGAAAATGAATTCAAATCCAGTGTCAGATGCCCCGTTTGACCCTGGACAAATCATTTAACCTCTGTCTGCCTCAGTTTCCTCATCTGTAAAATGAAGATAATCACAGCATCTGCCTCTTGGGGGGTTTTTTGTGCATAAAGATTTGGTGAGATAACATCTATAAAGTGCTTAGCACAGTGCCTGGCACATAGCAGGGGCTTAATAAATACTTGTTCTCTTCCCCTCCCTGGCAATTGGCCAATCAACTAATAAGTCAATAAGTATTTATAAATTGCCTACTATTTGCCAGGCAATATTCTAGACCCTGAGAGATGCAAAAATGAAAAGGAAATAGCTCTGGATCTCAAAGAACTTAATTTCTATAACACTCCCTCCCATATTATTTTGTATTTATTTAGTGTATTAGCTTTTATTTACTGATATATACACACATATATACGTGTGCCTATATGCATATACGTAGAATATATATAGGGATAGATATACATATATGTGTATATATATATAGTTTATATATACACACACACATATATATATAAAAGCACACATATACACACAGAGTGTCCCCAGAGTATATATTGGTATATGTTTTTTGTTGTTTTTTTGGTGAGGCACTAGGGGTTAAGTGACTTGTCCAGGGTCACACAGCTAGTAAATGTTATGTGTCTGAGGCCGGATTTGAGCTCAGGTCCTCCTATCTCCAGGGTCGGTGCTCTATCTACTGCACCCCCTAGCTGCCCCTTGGCATATATTTTGCATTTCTACAAGGCTGCTTCTTCCCCAGTTAGATGTAAGCTCCTGAAGACAAGGCCTGTTTGTCTTTGCCCAGTATCCCCAGGGCCCGACGTAGTGCCTGGCCCATTGCTTGTTGGTGGAATGATGTTTTCTGGAACCCAAGGGTGCCCAAGGGCAGAGACCAGGTTTCCCTTCAGACAGAGCACAAGGCCTTTGTCTTCCTCCTCAAACCAGGAGGGTCCCAGAGGACAGGACCAAGTCCCCTCATGGTTCCCACAAGGCAAGATTCTCTCCTCTCAGAGTGAGGATGCCTTCTGGCAGGGGCTTGGTCTCCCTTCTCCAAACAGGGGCTTCCTGAGGGCAGGAGTCTTTCTGACTCCTTACACTGACTCTAACCCTAAATGTGGGGGAAGAGTAACCATTTTCCTCCCTTTTCCTCCTAACTATTTCCCTGCCTTCTTTCCTTCTAATCTTACTTAAAACTGGTGGCTCCCAGCTGGGAATCTGAGGCTGGGAAGGTTAGAGACAGCTCAGCCTGGGAATCCCCAGTCCTACCCCCAGGAAGGAGGGGAAGTAGCTAAAGCCCTGCTTCAGCACAACTGGGGCCCTGTCCTCGCCAGAGTCTCTGAGCAAAGGAGGAACAGAGCAATGGGGAAGTGAGGCATCCACAGGCGACAGGCTGGGGTCGGTCCTGGAGGGATCACTGTTCTAGGGTTTTGAGCTGGAAAAAAAACCCCTAATTTTACAGATGAGGAAACTGAGACTCAGAGAAGAGATTTGACTTTCTCAAGATCACAACGACAAGCCGGGATTCCAAATCACGTTCTTTGATTCCAATGTCATGGCTCTTCCCCCTATACCACACTGCCTCGCTAAGGCACCGGTTAAGGTCAGGGGTACATGATTAGCTAGGGCCTGCTTGTACAATGTCTACAGCTCCTGTGCCAACCTATCTCCCTAAGGAAGGCCCCTTGGGAACAGGAGACAGGTGCTCCAGCAGCCAGAGTCCATATGAACACCTTCTCCTGTGCCCTTTAATACAGGAGAGACACTTAAACTTGACTCCTACACTTCCTGGTTTGCAGCTCCAAATCTCCCATCATCTCACTGCTGTGTAATTTTAGGTTTACAATTTCTACTCCCTTGGTTTCCTCATCTGTAAAATGGGGACATAATACTTGGACTTGCCTCAAAAAAAAACCTCAGGATTTTTGTGAGGACAGCATTTTGTCATCTGTGAAGTGCTATAGAAATATGGGAAAAGATCTGAGGGACTGCAAGCTCCATGTGATATAAGCCATCGCATTGACAGGAGATAGCCAAAAAAGCCAGTGACTGTAAGACGCAGTGAGAGGCTGAAGGTCCAGGACCAGAGACAGATCACATGAGAAGCACGATTGCTCAGTTCTAGGTGGCACATTTCAGGAAGGACAGTGACTACTTGAAGAACAGAGAGGACCCTATGCTTACATGATAATTATAATGGCTATCATTTCAATAGCGCTTTAAGGGTAGTAAAGCACTTTTTAAGTGCTATCTCATTTTATCCTCACAACAACTCTGGGAACTAAGTGTTATTATTATCCTCATTTTCCAGATGAGGAACTAAGGCAAACAGCAATTAGTGTTAGGGTTATTTTTCCCCAACAGAAGGTAAAACCCTTGCTTGAGGTTAGGGGCCATTTTTTGGTGTCTTTGCATCTGTACCCTCTTGGGGCAGGTCCCACTTCTGAATCCAAGTCCAAATGCTACCTCTGACCCATACTGGCTATGTGACCCTGGGCAAGTCATTTAACTTCTGTGCTCTAAGACTATAACTTCTAGAGATGGTCCTGATGTGCATTAGCAGAGTGTCTTTCTTCACCTGGGAGTTTGCAATGCCAATGAAATCACACCCTCTCTCCATCCCCATGCTTGGCATATAGTAGACCTTAATAAATATATATTGATTGGCCAGGATAGTAAAGAGACTGGAGATCACACCATAAGAGTTCTCAAGGATCTATTAGCCTGGAAAGGTGGGGATGGGGGCAGGGGATGGGTCCTGTGAGAGGTCTTCAAGCACCTTGACAGCTGCTATATGGGAAAGGGCTTGGATTTATTCTGCTTTGCCTCAGAGGGGAGAAATAGGAGCAACTGAAAGGCTGGGAAGTCACAAGGAGGAAGAACTCTTTAATGATCAGAGTCATCCTACAATATGATGGGCTGTCCCAGGAGAAAACACCAGTTGGATAACTCTTACCTATAGGTAATGCTGAAAAAGCCACATGCTTTGGTCAGGAGTTGAACCAGGTGCCCTTGGACATTTTTAAAATTCTATAATGAGAGCTACTATATTATTATTATCCAACAGCATGTAAGCTTGGTGAAGGTAGGGACTCTCATTTTGGACATTTTAATGTACCTGCCATGGTGCCTGGCTTCCCTTAAGCTCTGCTTCCTATACAAAGACTTTGCTGATTCCTCTGAAGTTGTTAATGTTCTGTGCCCACCCCCACATCCTGAAATGACTTGGTGTTTACATGGGTTGGACTAGAACACTTTCACTGGAGCCCAGCTTAGGGTTCTGTGGGGTGAGACATGATCTAGCTCCTTACATACATGAGCAATAGCTTTCGGTTGGTGCCATGATCACTGTCATGGGGGGGGGGGCGCGCGTCAGACATCACTGGTGACTGAACCAGAAAGAGCCATCCACCCTAAGAGCTATAAAGAGCGAGGAGAGATGGCTTCAGGCCCTTCCAGATGGCCTCTTTGTTGGGACACAGTCAACACCTGCTCTCCCTTGGACTTCCAGCTGGGGCAAAGGAGATTTCTCTCTCCCTCTTCCTTCCCCAGCAGCAGCTGCGGCGGCTACTTGCATGTGGCCAAGATAACACAAGCTTGCCTAGGTGACCCTGAGACTGGACCTCAACTGTTTGGCTGCCTCATCTCCTTCATTTGGCCCTCCCATCCCCCTTCCTCCCTTCTTAGATAAACTCCTTGAGAGTTGTCCATTAGGAGAAGATTCTAGGAAGATGGTCGAGTAATTCAGAAAACTTTCAGCTCTCTAAATGTCCTCTGGGAAAAAAAAAAAAGACAATACATCACCTCGGACCAGCAGAAATAAACATAGAGTAAAGCCATTGCTCTCCTAAGACAATTTGTGAAGATTCCACGAAAGACTGCTCCTGGAGCAGAGGTTTGGCCTGAGAAAAGAGTAAACACCTCCAGGCCAGCTCCAATCAACAAATCTCAAGCCTTGGGGGCAGCTGGGTTGAGAGACAGCCT